GTAGTTTGAAACAAGAAGAATTGAACGGCGGCTTTGTGTTGAGTACCGTCCACCAATAGCTCCAAAAGATTGTCCCAAACAATTGTGTTCCTGTTTTCAAGTAGGTTCGAAGTCAAATTCCCCGAAACTTCCTCCGAAATCAATGCATTTTTATAGTATAACTCAACATCAATAATTAACTATCAACATAAAAAATCTAAACCACTGTACGAAATTAGTTTGATTGTTTTCTAATTTTCTTTTTAGTAATAAGAGACATAAGTCTTCATATTTATTTACGATATAATGTTTCCAAAACAAAATTGTATTGAATTCTGATTCCAATCCCGAAGCCTTGTTGAAAGTAATGGGCCTAACTTGAGAACGTAATGGGCCAATAATTTCCAATATAAATACGACTTAGGAGTGAGGAAAACCCTAAAATCAGCAGACAATGGAGAAGACGGCAAGAGAAACACTCCCAGAGGAGCAAACGATGGAGAAGACGGCAAGAGGAAGACTCCCAGAGGAGATACTAATGGTGATACTCCCCGGATTACCACTGAAAACCCTCGCGACATTCAAATGCGTCTCCAAACCATGGAAATCACTAATCGAATCTCCTTATTTCCGACGTCTCTTCGTCTCTCTCCACAAAAAGTCATCCCCGTCATGGTCACTTATGCTCACAACAACCGCACATCTCTCTCCCACCATCACCGAAGCTTTTGGCTTCCATGGTTGCCAAACATGGGATCTTCCCAAATCTCCAGGTTCTTATTTCATACCAGATCCAACCAATCTCCCTAGTTTCTATCGAGCTTCTTCTAATGGATTGGTTTTGCTCGAGATTGGTAACAAATCGTTAGTTGGTAATCCGGTTTTACATCAATGGGTTGAGATTCCTCCGCCTCCCAAGCCTTGTGCTTTTACTGGTTTGGTCACTCGTGTTGAGGAAGACGGTGCTGTCTCGAGCTTTAAAGTTGTTAGGACTTGTGAAAGTAGTGATGGTGATATGAATGAATGGAGAGTTTACGTTTATTCGTCTGAGTCTGGTTTATGGAGTTACAAGCAGCTTTTCTCATCGCATCCTTTACTTAACCCTTCTTCCTGCTCTGCCATGAGTTTGAATCAGAGGATTTATCTGTTGGAAACAAGTTTGGATCCTACTCGACCTGATGTTCTCATTGCTTATGACTTTTATAACGAAGTTGGTGGTGATGAGTGTAAGGTTATACCTCTCCCTCTTGCCGATCTTGCACATCTAATGAGATCTGGAGGTAATTCACATTTAAGGAGATGTTTGACTAGTACAAGAGGAGATGTTGTCTTT